GTAATTGCTAATCATTATACATGTCTTATAAATTCTTCTCTAAGATAAATATAAGAATAACTAATAACTAATAAAATACAACTATTGAAATAATAAAATAATACTATGATAAAATAATAAATTAATAAAATAAAACTGTTCTATAACAATAAATATAAATACCTACAGAGTTGATATTTCTCAGTTTTCTACTAGCGTGTTATGTAAATTTAATTAAAGTTGAGTCGATTACAATATTAAGTAAGCTAACTCAAATAAAATTCGAAAACTGGGTTGTTAATTTAATCTGAAAGTTTTTGTTACACATAGATCTTGAGATCCTATTCGATAAGTAACAGATGATATTCTGCGTACAATTCTATTGGCTAAATAGCAGGAGGTATTGTTGAAAAAATCTGTACTATTGATTTTTACTATTATACCTTATATAGATTTGATTAATTAGTATATCAGACATCCCAAAACATGTTTATTTTATATACAGTATATTTTATTAAAAGCATATTTTACAAAGTAATTTTATTTATTGTTATTAGTATTAGATTTACAATTAGAACTAAAGTTAATACAATTATAAAAATAACTTATTAATAAAATAAACTGTTTGCAAAAATACTATCTATAAAATAAACTTGTCTATAAATTAATTGTCTATAAAATATAGTAGTGAATAGTAATATTGGATTTTTTTATTTAGGAGGTTGATAATTATTAGCTAATTATACACCTTTTAGATTTTAATTTGACCTTTTAAAGATCAGTCATTTGACAAATATAAATTGTATATATGACAAAATCGGATTTAGTATGTAACAAATTCAAATTTGTTACATATATTATTATACAAAAGTGCTAAAATCGAATTTGTCACGTGATAAATCTGAGAATATCATGTGACAAATTCGATTTTGCCACTTTCGTATAATAATATATATGACAAATTTGAATTTACTATATGCTAAATTTGATTATGTCATATATATAATTTATATTTGTCAAATGACTAACCTTTAGAAGGTCAAATTAAAATCTAAGAAGGAGATATAATTAGCTAATAATTGTCAGCCCTCTTAAACATATATATTTATTAATATATAAAAAAAATTAACAATTGCCTATTTATATATATAATACGTAGTAAGAAAAAATAACTATATTTTTCATAATTAAAAATTTACTTATTTCTTATATGTATTTAGAAAAATGCTATCAATACTATAATGATTTCTTTTTAAAAAAATTAGATGCTCAAATGTAATAAGTAAAAGATTTGATCTTTTAACAGATATTACATTTCCAGTATCACTAAATAGTCTCTCACTAGGTGTTGAAGTAGCCAAAATAGCTAAATATTTTTGTGCTAAATAAGTTAAAACTAGAAAACGATTTTGGTTATTCTTCCACTATTCAAAAAGATATTGATCATAAAAATTTTTTGCATTCCAATATAGTCAAAAATTTTATCTATTTAAGTATTATTTGATCAATACATAGAGATTAATAGCTTGCTTATAGATTATAATAGTTGTTTAATAGGTTGTATATTAGGTTGATTTTGATATTGCTTATATACTTTATGCAATGAATTGTAAGTTTTAGCTTTTAAAGATTCTGAAACAAAATTTAACATTTTACACTGAGAATCAAGTAATATAGCTAATATTTCTTCTTTTGATAGTACTTGCCAATAATAATTTATAGCATTATATAAAGCCATTTTTACTTTCTTTTCGAAATTTGTACAATCTTGAAAGTTATCCAACTCAATATCATCTGTTTGATCCTCATTTAAAATAGCATTAAAAACATTTTTGTTATTCTTATAATTTACTTATTGCATTTTAATATTATTAGTAGATATAAGATTATCCATAATTGCATTAATTGCGCTATACATAAAACTTATTGTTGCATATTTACTACCCCTTAAAAGATTAGTTGCTTCTGCAAATAGTTCAAGTACTGTAACAAGACTTTTTATAGCTTCTCATTCTATATTAATGAGATTAATTTTTTTTAAATTTGCATCTTCTTTATATGTTTGATAATCTTCATCTAAAAAAAGTATTGTGATTATAAGACTAATTATATTTTGAATCTTAATTAAACGTTGCCAGGCAAAATAAGATAAATTTCATCTTGTTAGTGTGTCAGCAATTATATGTAATTCATAATTATTTTGAGAAAGGT